CAGTTGACTTGTAAGTCGACTGGTCTGACCGACTGGTCGATTTGGTTCTGATTGGTTCTTTTCCAGTTGACTTGTAAGTCGTCTGGTTTGACCTGACAGAACTATGACTGGTGGATTTGCGTAAGCTGTTAAGCTGCATTTGCAATTCCTCAAACTCTTCTTGAAGTACTTCTTTTTCAATTTCACATACTTCATTTTTGAGTTTCCAGTCTTTGATTTCCTTAGTGAGTCTCTTAAGCTTATTCATCATTTTTTGAGACTCTTTTAAGGTTAAATCAAGAATATGCTGCAATTCATTACATCTTTCACAATCATAAGATCTTACCTCGCTCGTTTCTCCACGTGCCATGAAATAGTTTTCGTCATCTGAATCATCTTCATCTGTCCAGCATCCTGAGGTTTTGTTCATCTCATTTTCTAGAATTGTCATGAAACAGAGATTTGTTATTTCTTCATGGTCTGAGTCATCCTCATCGCTCCAGCTTCCGAAAGATTTGTTCGTATTGAAGCCTCTAGAGATCTTCCTTTTTAGTTCTGGACACTCAGCTTGAATGTGCCCAAACTTTCCATATTCGTAGCATTTTCTGTCGTTCTTGTCTTGTTCATTGTATTGCCTAGATCGTTTTGGTGGAAATCTTCCTTTCTTTGTGTTTCTGTATCTTCTTATCAGTCCATCCATATTTCTAGACATCATAGCAATCTTTTTTTATAGATCTTCAGGATCATCAATTTCATTTTCAGTCGACTCAGTAGTGGTTTTGAATGCAACAATTTTCTTTTTCTCCTCTTGGTTTGTCTTCTTCAGATGCGTTCTTTCGAAAGCAATGAGTTCTCCTCGCAGTTCATCATATGATAATTTGTTAAGATCTTGAGATTCCAGTGTGACAACTTTAGTCTGCCAATTGGTTAGTAGACTTCTGAGAATTTTTCTAACTTGATCACCACTAGTGTAGGGCTTGCCAAAAGCTTTTAAGTCACTGATTATCTTACTAATCCTGGCAAACATTTCTTCAATGGATTCTCCTTCTTTCATTGAGAAGAGTTCGTAATCATGAACTAGCATGTTGATGTGAGTTTCCTTTACTTTGTTGGTTCCTTCATAGGTGACCTCAAGTTTGTCCCACATCTCTTTGGTTGTATCACAACTCGATATTTTTTCATATTCTTCACCACTTATAGCATTGTGAAGCAGATTTCTTGCCTTGTTGTTTATTTGTACAGCTTCCAGTTGCTCCTTTGAATATGAGTCTATGTCATCAGGATCAGCGAGAGGTGGAGTGCTGGCAGGCAGTGGGTAGTTTCCCTTCTTGATAACTCTCCATACTTTAACGTTGTATGCTTTGGTGAAGATTTCCATTTGGATTTTCCAGTGGAAAAAGTGTTGTCCATTGAAGTACGGTGGTCTTACTTGTGAAGTTCCTTCCTGAAAGAGAGCTCTTATGATAACCTGATTTGCCATGATCTTTTCTCACAAGTTGTTAAGCAAAAACCAAAGATGTGATCCTTGCTCTGATACCAATTGAAAGTACAAGAGGGGGGTGAATTTTAAGTTATTAAAATTAATCGCTTTAAAGTTGACTTATAACTAGAGTAGTCGACTGAGTATGGTAATATTGCAAATATGATAACTGGAAGTAATGTGCAGAAAGTAAATGCAGAAATTAAAGACACCAGGATTTTTACACTAGTTCGGATTCAATGTGAATCCTAATCCAGTCCCCTTGGGTTGCAAGGGAGTTCTCTTCAAGTAAATGAGTTTTCTTTCTAGTACAGATGTGATGTATATCGCTCAAGTTCTCTAGCACTCGTTTGATACAATGCCTCACCAGTTGTGTACCCTCTTTCTATCCCTGACTTGTTACACAATAGTTTTTTATGTAAGCTACTATGCTTGTTTGCAGTAGAATAAAGAGAGTGATTTGGTTTGATCAAAGTATATCTAAAGAGGGTTTTACAAGGAGAATATATACTATGGTGAACGGTGAAGGCTTGTCAACCTAAGGGTTTTGATCCTTGGAAAGAATTGATTCTTTCCAAGAATAAGGAGTGAGTCGTTGCTTCTCTTGATATCTTTTCCTTCGGCAGACGATTGTTTTAAAGAGATTTCTCCTTGATTGTTGGATCTTCCAAACACGCTCACTGCCCAGATCTTCTGGCATCTTTTATTCTTTCGTGATTCTGTTAATCACTGATCTCCTCGTGCCTTGATTATTCCCGCTCCGTTATTTACTGATACTGCTAATTTGGTTTCCCAATTTTACGGAGCTAATCCTAATTTGCTGATGCAGATTTATAGCTTTCCTTGTACATCATCAGTTATTCTGGTAGCTTCCTTTGCGAGTGAGTTCTTTCCTTGTTCGACACAGGCCATTCCAGCAATTCTTCTTTACTTCTTTGAGTTCCTGCACATGTATATTAATTGCATTTTTAAAACATGATCTAACAAATTCCCCTTTTTTGATGATGGCAAAATAATATACTTATAAACAACAGTTGACTTCCCTGTGTGTTACCAGTCGATTTGGCTCCCCCTCAATGTGTGCAGTCAACTTGACTTGATCTTCCCCTCAAAGTGTGCAGTCGACTTGTACCTGTATAGTATATATGGAGTACTATCTATGCATGTATATCATAGTCGACTTGTACCTGTACATAACATATAGAGTATTATCTATGCATGTATAGCATAGTCGACTTGTACCTGTACATAATATATAGAGTACTATCTATGCATGTATAGCATAGTCGACTTGAACCTGTACAAATGCACATAATAGCATAAACCACAGATATATTTTCTCCCCCTTTTTGACATCAGCAAAGAGGGATTAGCAGGTAGCAAAAAACAGAACCATCCAGCGGCTGATGAAACAGCCCATAGTAGCAAAAAACAAAAATATCCAAAGGCACAGCCCAAAACACCATCAAAACAAGTATCAAAAGAAAATAGTGTTAAAAACAAATCCACACTAGCAACGTAGGAAGTAGTTAAGAGTGTTGCAGATGGCCTCCTTCAACTATTCGAAACTGGTATGTGCAGTGACGCTCATGCCATCCAGCCTGTCATGAACCTCCTTGAAAGCTTTAACCGCATTCTCCCTTACTCTGTGAACAGCGACTCTAATTTTAGACACATCAGACCATGTTTCCTTCGAAATAGCATGAATGTCACCCACAGTGGACTGAGTAGCGGAGAGAAGAATCGTAATGTCTGAGAGTTGGGAGTCAATGGAGTTAAGTTTCTCATTCAGCTCAGAACTAACAAGAGGAGGAGGAGGAACAACTGATGAGGGCTCGGTTTCCATAAGTGCCTGTTTCGCTTCACTCTCACTTTTATTAACCCAGGAACCCTTGATACTCACATATCCCATACTGGTGAAAGCTCTAGAATTGTAGGACTTGGAGACAATAATGAAGGGATAATCAGACAGTGAAATTTGATGGGCTTCCAGAATGTGGTTGACTGACATATCATAGGGTAAACTGGTGGGATCTTCAGCACTCTCTATCATGAAATTTATGACCCAGGAGGAAAGTTTGAGTTTGAGTTTGGTGATGAGGCAGTAGACAAAGTAGGTGTCCCTTGAGAGAATGTGGAGAAAGAACCAGTACGGGGAAGCAGAGTGGTTGCAACAATATGGGCTAGAACCCGAGTTTCAAAACTCACATCACTAGGACCCAATTGGTTGGGAGGGTTTCAGAGGGATTTTCAACAATGCACTATTTGGCTTGGTCAAAGGAGATTTCAAAGTTCTCAGGCCAAACATTTTTAAAGAGAGTGGGGAAACCGGAGCAACAACAGTGAAAAATAAAATCAAAAAGGCACAGTCAAGAACAATGTGTTTACCAAGGACAAGAGATTCTAGCCTATCTGGTTTACTAGAGAGGAGATTGGCATAAAACATACGAACTAAGGGTTCATACACCTTAGGCGGAGGAATAGAGAGAAATTTTTCCCACCCTTGATAGACAAAGAGATCTTTTACCTTACAATTGAGGGCTTCCATATCATCAAGATCCACAACTCTTCCATGGGCGATGGGCTTATCCTTGAGAGAAATAAAAAGATCTCTATTTGGGGTATCCCAGAAATTAAGGTTAGAATCGAGGGAGGAAGAGAAATCAACCTTTGATTTCTTTGGAGTGGATGAGGCGGGAGGATCTTCCATGGGTCATTTACCTAAAGCCTTTTCTCCTTAAAGTTGTGAATGTTCAGAGAACTCACCCTAAGAGGAGACGAAGCCTTCAGAGTGATCAGACCCTAGGTCTACTCGCTCAGGAGGATGCAGAAGGGGTTTTCGTCTTAGAGCAAGTGCTTTTTCTGGTGGATGCAGAGGGGTTCTTGGAATGTTTCGCCATGGGAAAGGGGAGGATTTTCACAGGGTTGGTGAGAAGATGGGGATGAGGGTGACTGAAAGGGTTTAGCTTTAAGCAAAGGATTTTGACAGTTGAGTACAGAAAAGGAAGGGGTGTCAGTTGAGGAGACGTGATGATTGGCTTTCCATCTTCAAACTGCGAACTTATGTGAACAAAGTAAAAGAGGGGGAAAAACTGGAGGCGTAATTAATGCGTTGGAAAAGTGCAATTATAGCACATTTTGACCAAAAAGAGCACATAGGTCCTAAGAGTTTTTTGAAAAGCAAATAGTACCAACTAATTTTCTCAAAGTGCAAAATCTTTCTTTCAACAAAGGCTTAGTAAAAATATCAGCTAATTGAGCAGAGGTGCCAACAAAAGCTATTTCTATATCACCTTTAAGAACATGATCTCTAATAAAATGATTCTTAATGTCTATATGCTTTGCTATAGAGTGATGCACAGGATTTTTTGAAAGAAAAATAGCACTAGAATTATCATAAAAAGTTTGTATAGGTTTTAAAAGAAAGTTCATAGTCACCCAATTGATGAGACATCCTTAGAATTTGTGCACAGCACTGTCCAATGGAAATATACTCAACTTCAGTTGTGGATAAGGCGACTGATGCTTGCTTTTTACTATTCTAGGATATTAAAGTCTTTCCTAGTAGTTGACAAGTGCCACTTGTGCTTTTTCTATCTTCTTTATCACTTGCTAGATCAGCATCAGAAAAACCTTCTAATTTAAATAAGTTAGAACGAGGATACCATAATCCATGAGATACTGTGCCAATTAGATATCGAATGATTCTTTTTACAGCAGTCAGATGTGACTCCTTGGGAGCCGACTGCAACTTGGCACATTTACACACGCTGAACATAATATCCGGTCGACTTGCTGTCAGATATAGTAGTGATCCAATCATTCCTCTGTATCTGGTTTCATCAATTGGAGTACCCTGTTCATCTTTGTCTAAATTTGTAGCAGGGCTCATAGGAGTACCAATTAATCTTGCATTGCTCATGCCAAATTTTGGTATCAGTTCCTTTGTATATTTAGTCTGACAAACAAAGGTTCCTTCTTCGGTTTGTTGAATTTGTAGCCCAAGGAAGACTGTGAGATCGCCCATCATACTCATTTCAAACTAGCTTTGCATAAGATTTGCAAATTCCTTGCACATAAGAAGGTTAGCACTACCAAAGATAATATCATCAACATAAATTTGAATAATGAGATTACCTTCTGTTGATCGTTTAATGAATAGGGTAGTATCTATTTTACCTCTGGTAAAGCCATGATCAACAAGGGAAGTACTTAACCTGTCATACCAGGCACATGGAGCCTATTTCAGTCCATATAATGCCTTAGTAAGCTTGTATACATGGTATGGGAATTTCGAATCTTCAAAGCCTCGAGGTTGTTTTACGAAAACTTCCTCTTCGATGAATCCGTTCAGAAAAGCGCCTTTGACATCCATTTGAAACAGCCTGGATCCTTTAAACGATGCGTATACTAGCAGAATTCGTATAGACTCCAATCGAGCTACTGGGGCGAAGGTTTCATCATAGTCGACTCCTTCTTGCTATGAATAGCCTTGAGTAACTAATCTACCCTAATTTCTTATGACCTTTCCATCTTCGTTCAATTTGTTTCTAAATACCCATTTTGTTCCGATCACATTTACACTATCTGGTTGGGGTATTAATTTACACACTTGATTCTTGCTGAATTGATATAGTTCCTCTTGCATGGCTAGGGGTGTGCATTCGAATCAATTTATCGATAAATCGAATCGATTATTTGTTATCGAAATCGAAATCGAAAAAATCAAAACCTTATTGAAACGATAACGATAAGCATATGTACAAATCGATAATCGATAAGTAATTATCGATAAGGGTCAAAATCGGATCGATAAATCGAATGCACACCCCTAAACTATAGATACTTGTAAAATGAGTAATTACCTATTTGTATAGATTAATATAACATACAGAATGTATATATATTGCGCTAATATTTTGAAAGCAGCTATACAATATCATTTTCCCTAATCTATACCCTTTGTTATACCCTAAGTCCCTTACCCTATTATTTCCTCTATCACATTTAAGGAATGATCATATTTAAAGATCAAAGGAATGAAGTTCAAATTAATGGAAAACAGAATTAGCGTGATGATGTATTTTGTTTTGTTTTTTTTATACCGTTGGAGTGTTGGTGGCATACATTTGATCCCTTACTTTAGTTTTGTTGCATGTGCTTGTTGACAAAATTTTTATGTTATAAATGGTGTTCGTCTTTTTTTAGCTTCTTTTTGTCCATATTAGTTAGGCGCGTTTATAGCGATATACTTTCCGTGGAATCCCGCAAATTTTCTTATTGATGTAATCGATAACTGAATTGATAAGCCCCCAAAATCGATAAATCGAAATCGAAAAAATCGAAACCTTATTGAAACGATAACGATAAGCATATGTACAAATCGATAATCGATAAGTAACTATCGATAAGGGTCAAATCGAATCGATAAATCGAATGCACACCCCTATGCATGGCTTGCACCCAGCTTGAATCCTTCAATGCTTCCTCTACCTTTTTCGGCTCTATTTGAGAAATCAATGCAATATTTGCTTTCTTTTTTAGGGTAGCCCTGGTTTTCATTCCTTCGTTTGGATCCCTTATGATATATTTCTAGGGATATTCAGGTTCGCTTCTCCATTCATTTAGTCGGACAATGTTTGTAGTCGACTCCGCCTGTTGATATGGAGAGTTGATGCTATTTTCTTTAGTCGACTCGATCATGCCAGATGTATTAGTCGACTCCTGTAGTTTTCCTTTGTCCTGAGCTTCTTGAGTTTGATCTTCGTCACCTTCTGCCCAGAAATGGTTTGGCAATGAATGTTCTAATAGTATGGTTCTTGCCATGTCTTGGAGAGTTCTGTTCATTCTTTCCACAACCCCATTTTGCTGTAGTGAGCGTGGTGTAGAGAAATTGTGAGTGTATCCTTGATTGTTACAGAAGTCTTCAAAAGATCTGCTTTCAAATTCACCTCCATGGTCACTTTGAATTTTTGAGATCAGATAACCCTTTTCTCTTTCAATCCTTTTGCATAAAACTTCAAAATTTCTTAGGGCTTCAACCTGATTCGTCTTCAATGGCACAACCTGTTCTTTTAACTTTTACCTCATATCCTAAGTCGCAGAGTTGACTTATGCTTAGGAGATTGTAGTTTAGCCCATCAACGAGATATACTTCAGTAATGTTACAGTTGTTGTTGAAGGGAATTGTTATGGTGCCAACTATCTTGCCTCTTGAATCATCTCCAAACTTCACACTTCCTCCATCAATCTTTGTAACTTCCTTGAACAGGTTTTTGTCACCTGTCATGTGACTGGAACACGCACTGTCTAGATACCATTTTCCTTTTCGGCTTACTCTGTGGTGTTCCTGCAAGACAAGATTATCACTTTCTTTTAGGTACCCAAGCTTGCTTGGGTCCTAGTGAGTTAGTGTCACTAGGTTCAAAATTTTTTGGTTTCCAAACCCATCCTAACATATGTGATTTACGAAAATGACAACCAGAATATTTATGCCCACTTTTGTTACAGTAATGGCATTTAGCTCCAGACCTGATTTCAGGTCTTCCATAAGTATTGGAACTAGCCGACATAGATTTAGCTGGTTCCTTTCCAGTTGACTTGTAAGTCGACTGGTCCGACCGACTGGTCGATTTGGTTCTGATTGGTTCTTTTCTAGTTGACTTGTAAGTCGTCTGGTTTGACCTGACAGAACTATGACTGGTGGATTTGTGCAAGCTGTTAAGCTGCATTTGCAATTCCTCAAACTCTTCTTGAAGTACTTGTCACACCTCCCTTTTTCTACACCCCCGGAAGAGGGTATGATAAAGGGAGTTATTTCCAACTTGAAGGACAATCGAAACGGGATTTTTTATTAAGATTTCAGAGTCGCCACTTGGGAAATTAATGGTGTCCCAAGTCACCGGTTGAATCCCGACCCGAGGAAATTATGACTCTGTTATCAGTCCTGCGAACCAGAAATCCAGGTAAGGAATTCTGTTAACCCGGGAGAAGGTGTTAGGCATTCCCGGGTTCCGTGGTTCTAGCACGATCGCTCAACTGTTGTATTTGATTTTATCTGATTCTAAAACATGTTCTAACTTATGCCTTTTATTAGTAGACCGCTTTTATTGTTATTTTAATAAGAATTGCAACGTCGTGAAAATGCGCCTCGAACCACGTCGCACCAGTGCACCCGTGATTGTTAACACAATTCGACTTCGCTGAGATTTGGATTTGGGTCGCATAAATGTGCACCCACTTTAGGAAGGTAAACTTATTTAAATCGTGTGCCTAAAGAGACTATCACGTTATTATCTTTGGGGAAGGCCGTGAAATTCGCTAAACGGCTCATCCCGAAGTCTAAGTATTTTAGTATAAACATTTGTCGAGGACCCCGCAATTTATTTGTTTTGTTTAGCGAAAATCGTCTCTCTTGTTATTTTTTGAAGACAAACCTAATGCAATTACGAGTTTCTCTTTTTATTCCGACTCTAAATATGAAGGAAAATTCTAATTAATTAAGGCTTTGAACCTCAAACCCGAGTTCGAACAACCAGCAATGGTTAAAGAGAAAATGGGCCTTGAGCCCAGATTGCAAAATAGGCACCTTGTGAACTAAAGTTTCCACGGCCACAGTCCTTTTTTGTCAAAACAGACCTGGGCTCTGTTAATACACCTAGGCCCCAAATACAAACAAGCGGCCCAGTGGAAGTAAAGGGCGACTCAGGTGGCTGCGATGCCAATGTCTAGGATCGAATCCCAGCAAGAACAAACACAATTCAATTGGCTATGCAACCTACGTCAAACCCACATAACACTGTCGTGAACTACTAACCTAGGTGAATCAACTCAATTCAGGTGAAACTTAACACTAATCTGCCGATACCAATTCAAATGCCTATATCAGTGATATCCAAGGCTCTATTCAAATGCAGACAACCAAGTATACCTTAACAGGACTACAGATTGCTACCATTAACAAACAACATGTTGATAGAGTAAAGTAGTCTCAATTAACACACAATAGTTTCAATGTTTCAGTCATGCTTATAACTAAATAACTGCTACAAATTATCTTCAAATTAGTAATCAACAGAGGCGAACTTTCAATGCACAAACTTGATGGAATTTCTTCATTTTCACTTCCAATTCCACAATTACATCAAACCAGTTTCGGATGTGTACCTGGAATTTGCAAAGGAAACAAGAAGGAAAGAGTCAGCAGTAGCACAACACGGCAGCAGCAATGGAGTTAGCCCAGGAATAACCGAAATAACTAGCCAGATACAGATTTGGACAGCAGAACTGCCAAACGACCCTCAGCAGTTAATCAGGCAACCAATGCAAGGGTGGATTGAATTCAAAATACCAGAAATCTCAACAAACCCCAACGACAATAACAAATAAACCACATCAGCCCCTTAAGCCTCAACACTACTCAAAATCAAACTTAATTTCTCTTGAGGTTTCAATGAAACAGAAGTCAACCAAAAATCCAACCCCAGACCATCTCGAATGAACCAAAACCACTCGGCCAACTAACAGGCATACTTCAGAAGAGACTCAACAAATAGGGGAGAAGAGAACTGATCACATTAGGCTAACAGCAATGTAACAGTACATTTTTTGATTTTTGCAGATTGTTTGTTGTTTTTGGTTTTCTTTTACAATTATAAGATCTGAAAGAGGATCTCTAACTCCTATTGATGGTCATGCTTGAACTGCAAGCTCGGATCTGAAAGGAGGGATTTACTGAGGGGATTTTGGCTCCAAAACTTAGCAAATTTCAGGGGGTTCCCCTCCAGCCTCCCTTTAGCAAGGCAAATGAATGCCTATTTATAGGCAAACTTAGGGTCCAATTTTCAGATTTTCACTTTACCCATTAGTCCCTATTTAATTCTATTTCTTCCCCTTATTTTCTGACTTGTGACACAAGTAACTACCCTAAGTTAACTGAAACCTGCACTATAGTCCATCCTAGAAGGTTCTATACTTATTACAATTCCTATTCTATCCTTACCCCACTTCAAAAATTACCAAATCTAA